GACTTTCTTGGGGCTGTTCGCATAGACGCAGCTCACAAACGAGAGATTGCGTTGCCGTCAACACCAAATTCATTGCAAATGAGGCTATTTTTCGAAATCTGTCCAAATCGGGTTCGAGCAGAACCTCAGATAGCGAGAAACTCGGGGAGTGCGCCTGGCTTATGAGTCCCAAAATGGCGAAATCAGTTCGTCAGCTTTTGAAGATTTTTCAGCAATCTTATGAGTAGCATATTACAGCTACATTTTATCCCGATGTTTCAGCTTAGAGCCTCTAAAGGATGTGTGGTGAGAGCCCTGCTTGGTACCGGTTTGCCGAAGTATTTGAACAACGTTGTCACCGTGCACATACCCCTGTTCATTCGTGTTGCATCACCTACTTATATAGTTTGTGAGTACGAAAATGTACTCAGCCTGGTGAGCTGTTTGTGTACCAAGTTAACAGACACCTTTAAGGGTGTTGGAAACGCGTGTCGGTGACGCGCATCCGGTTGAAATCCGCGAAATTAAAATGTCCTATCAGGGTTCTACATTGAGGAGCGAGATCATGGTTCCCCAAAATATTGCGCGTTAAGGCTTCGCAGGTCCAGGTGCGAGCATTCAATCCGCTAGCGACTACAGGCGCGTCGCGTCTCGGACTTTTCCGGCATTTGGTTAGGGCCCGTCATTAAACTCCTGGTTTATGTGATCCTCGGAACGTGCTGCTCAGTGCATTTACGGCTACGGCAGTGATGTTGAATGGTGGGCTTCTGAGCTTTGTAATTGCAGTTCTCGACTTGATCGGTTTGACTGTTCTTAGCGCTTTCTGGATCCAACCATTAAGGGTCTTCTGAACTACTGTGATACAGCTAAAAGGAGCCGTCTCTTCCTGGGGACTTAAATTCCACGAGAAACCTTGCCCATGTTTCTGAACTTCAGATAAACAGGTTGTAGGGGCAACATGACTGCGAAAGGCACGCATGTGTGGCTCCAAATGTACAAGCGGATCCTTATCTTCCAGTGTCTGACCTAAACGAGTTTTTCAAGTTCGAATTTCCAAGCTTTCCCTCATGTCATTCCACCACTAAAAAAGCCCTCGTGCAACCTTCGGGTGGCGTGGCAGTTGGACACCTGAAGGGTGCTACGGCTGAACGTTTGAACTAAAAAGGCCGAAGAAATGTTACATAACGACGACCCATAGCGTGAGTAGAAAAGTTGGTGGGACACACGTGAAGTTACTTGGGGACTCGCTATGCGTTGCGCTACTTTCCTTTTGCTCAAGCGTATGTCTTTAGCCTTTACATGTTCAGGTGCGAAATACAGGGGAGCGAAATGAACAGAGCTTCTAAACAAAGCCCTTTTCTTGGCCCTCAGACCATAGTTGATCCCATCCACTCATTCCGTCATGGCTTTTTCCACATGCTTACCATTGTTGGTTTTCAATAAGGTTTAGCCAACTCCCCCAGATTGTTAACCAACGGGCAGTCAGCCCAGCTAAAGCGCGTGACACTCACTTTCGCCCTTTCACTTTTACGGAGTCTCCCGTCGCGAGATGTCAGTGAATAGGTCTCCTTCAGCTAGGGCTACGTGGTGGCAAGCCACCCCGGACCACTTCAATGGGGTGCGATAGCACCATTGTTGGTGTGGTTTCAGAGTAATAGGATTTTGTTAATACCATTACGTGAGTCGCGAGAGGCATATTCGGGCCATCGTAGTTGACTTTGAGCCAGCTGCTCGAGTTCGGCTATCCTAGAGCATCGACGGTGGACCCCTTCGTTTGATGTGTGGTTTTGAGAACGTACTTTTAGATTAATTCTCCAAACATTGACAGAAAGTCTTCATCTTGCTGGTGTCTGACGCTCATCGGCTAAGGTTTGCAAGCATATAATAAGTCTGGTCAGATGGCGGATAGATGGCATCCGGAGGCATGGTTGATCGGAAGTACTTGGGTTCGCAAACGTTTCCTAGTGCCACTTTTTTCATCTTAATTAGTCCATCAGAACTGAATGCTGATTCTGGAAGGACCTTGGGTTTTGGGACGCTGATCTCTGGCTCGACGGTGGAAGCATACTGACGGACGTCTTGGAGTTGTTGCAGGAAGTGCTGTAGAGGACGAATAAATCATCCGTGGATCCAATATTCGCAGTTGGCACATTCTTTCCAGTCCTTTTTGTCGTTAATAGTTTAGACGTCTTCTTAACGCGCAAACTGTTCAGTTGGTGAACAGGCGGTGCTTACTCGGACCTCGTGCGCTCCTGAAATCGACTTATGCTGTGTCCGAAGCACACAGTGTTCAAGTCCGTCTAGATCCCCGAATGCACCCAAAAAGATCTCACCTTACTTTACCATATAGGTGTCCAGTAATCCTTAAGTGCTGATTCGTATTTTATGTAGTGTGGGAGTTGCACCCACACCCTTGGCTTAACACACTGTGCTGGGTTAGATTCAAGTAGACAGCGGTCATTGCGCCATTGGGCTGTCCAGTTCCGATACTAGGAATGACACTTTCTGCATTGTGCGGATTGATTCTTCAAGCAGAAGGTGTCTGTACTGTAATCCTTATGAATAATATGAATGCCGAAGTTGGTGCTTCGACTTTGTGAAATTACACCTTGATGGTCGATTCGGTGGTGTTCGCTTCACAGACAGTGAAGAGCGACTTTGATTGCGCGCTCACCATCAGGTGTTTCTGAGCGACCAACATGCTTCTCTCGTGTGTACTCTAGGTACTTTAGCGATTGACTGCTACATCTCTGAATACAGCATCCAAGTACAGTTCTTTCGTCCGAGGCACCCTCTCTATCTAGATACTGCAGACTACGAACTTGCAGCAGCTGCAACAGTTTTGCTTGGAACGAAATCATGTGCTCCGCTGCTTAGCAACTGTCGTAATAGTGAGTCCAGTCGTATCATGATTTCTGCTGGATCTTTAACACCGCGAGTTTGTCTGACGCTTGGGTTTGGAAATTGCACTGCTTACGATCCCCTTCTCTCAGTAGGGGGTGGTTGGGCAGAATAGTCATTCTATATAGTCATTCTATGTAAAGCAGAAACATCTTTGATTATTCGAAGAGCGATTACTTCTGAGAGGAAAAACGTCGTGCTCAGTATTCGTGTATTTGAAGATGTTCGCTCAATTGAAAAGACCATATTTCTCCCGTAGGCCTACATGCAGTCATTGCACTAAGCAGCCCGGGGGACTACATCGGAAGTGGTGAGTACAAGAGAAGGACAATTAAATCACCGTGTGGTGGTCAAAGAATTGATGGTGGAATGACAAGCACTAGGCCAAACTTAATGGATTTGAAAAATGTGAATGTTTTGAGCTGGGGGTTACGGGTCGAACCGTACTCACTGACTGCCAAGACGCTTGAAATCGCCAAGTATCCCAGCGTGAATTGAATAAAATAGAATGCAGTACAATATTTGTCACTCTCCTTTTTGGTGTTCCCATCAAGTTGTATTTTTCCTATCAACAATGATGAAACTCACCCCGGAGAATTAAACCATTTATTTGGGAACCTCCCTGAGATTCATCGGCGCAAAATGGTGATGAAGCTTTGGTGTAGTCAAGTGTGATTATGATGATGTGCAATGAGTTTTCATGTCAGTAGCGTACTTGAGTACTACACATACACCTCTGAATTACCCGCCTGTAAGCTCCAACTCCACCTACTTCTCATTCGCCTTGATAACAGTACAGCATGAAAAGTGGCAAGTAAGTTTACCCTAGAAAAGATTGTGCAGCAGGTGTGAAAATGAGGATTCTGTTTATCTCACTAACATTCTGTACTACAAGCTGTAACTGATCAGATAGTCTTGTGCTACAGTACTTATCAGTGCGATGCTCATACCCATCCTTTCGGCCGTCTGCTATTTCAAACACCCCATATTTGCTCACATACCCGATACATGTGTAGTCGAGTTCATACGACCTTTAATGGTGTTCTCGCTGCCCCATCCGAAATTGACAAACGCCACTTGTTTACTCAGTTGTCCGGTTGAATCCCTTGAGACCAAATATAGAAGCTCCGTCCCTCATGCATTTTAAACCGGTATTTCAGGTTTCTCTTCATACCCTTATTTCATGGTGAAGTCCTAGCGTATGCAGCAACACTCACTTTCATCGGATTATGAGCATCTATAGATTGGGTTGCAGGCTCGATAGTGTTGCAAGCTGGACTTCATCCTTTGGGGACTCAGTTGGGTCTCCCGTTAACACCAACTTATTTTGCAAATAGTTGGACCCTACCTCAAAAACCGAGGTTTTCTCAAGCCATGAGCTTTAATTCACGCACTTTAGTTAGAACAGGGGTATGTGTTAAGTGTACTGGGGTTACATCCTTTTAATGGAAGAACCTGTGTGAAGACAAACTGGTTTGGAAGTTGGTGTGTTGATGCACAATATTCGTAGTTCATTGATAGCCAGTGAATATGGATATAGTATTGCGTCTTTTGACTAAAATCAGTAGTACACACCGTGTAGTGCGAGGTTCAAGGATGCTGTCGTGTTTCACCTCATTCTGGCATATATTCTTGGTCAGCTCATGGCTTTTCCGCAATCGATCGATATTTCATTTTCGTTTTTGCCTGATTAGAGGCTTATTTTTAGATGAAGGTTTCTTGGGCTACTGATATATCAGTGTCTTTGAAGCCAAGCTTGTCCGCAGATATTGTCCTGTTGGAACTCAGGTCTTTTGACACCGAGCATTGGTACGTTGTCGTGGAGTTCACGCTAGACCCCCGGGATGCTAGTGAGATTCGGGTAAATTAATTAAGGAATAGACTGGCGGTTTAACCCTGGAATTCGTCGTTGCCTTCAGGTCAGCATATGAGTTCGAAGGTCCTCGGATTGAGGTACGTTATTTTGCACGATATGTAAACAACGTGCTCCTCGTCCTCAGGGGTCGAATTACAGGTACAAAAGCCCATTACTTTTCTAGTGTGATTTTCAACCCAATTAGTTAAATACTTCAGGGCCGCCTAGATATCCTAAATTTCAACACCTCATTTTGCCTTCTCAGTGCTATGGCTTCTATGACGAATGCATAAACAAGTATGGAAACGCTAACCCTTGGCATCAATGCTGCAAGGTGTTTGATCTTCTAACGATTGCTGCCCTAGTTGAAGATTCAGTTCTTTGTGTCCATGGGGGTCTATCTCCGGAAATCAAAACCCTTGACCAGTTACGCACAATCGAACGCAATATGGAAATACCTCACTCTGGTCCTCTTTGTGACATCTTATGGTCAGATCCGGATGATGTTAATCAGTGGACTATCAGTCCTCGTGGAGCCGGATATTTGTTCGGATCAAAGGTTCGTTTTTTTCTAAACAACATTTGTACATCACTTAGTTGCGTGACATTTTTCTACTTATCCAGTGTTTCTCCGATAGTAGGTTACGTTTCGTCAGAAACATAGACAGACTGATAATATTCCCCTTTGCAAGCAGTGAGATTGACATTCGGTGGTAGCTACCACTGATTTCGCTCTGCTCAGAGCAAGTTGTTCGTTAAAAATATAGGCTGCTCTGATGGTCTTGCGCCAACCACCACCGCCTTACCGTTAGGTGTTAGCCAATGGTTTTAGCTGACGCCTTAATCGTTCTCCTGTCTAGGCTTGGGCACCTTTGCAACTGCCAGCCAACTTACAACCATGAATTGCACATTTGCAAATAATTGCACTCCAGATGGGCCGTTTCGGTGTGCATCAGCCGGCTAGTCTTACTTGCTGCGTATGGTAGGGTGGGCAGGAGAAAACTGGTTATTGCTGATGCTTCAATTCTTTTTGTTTCACATGTTTGTTCTAATCTTTTTCCGGTTACTGGATACCTTTCCGTAATCCCGTTACTAAGGAAGGACAGGTCCGTTCCCGCTCATTACTCTTAGTTGTAACATCTATGGTTAACCCGTCCGCCGCATCCGTAGACACTTCAAACTAAGTCTCCAAACTCTGACGCTCAGTTTATCTGGCATCCTATAAAGTTCGCACTCTGAAACAAACTATACGGCAGATTGCTCTTGCATGAACACTAGACTTTTTTCCATTTGTGTGTGCTGTTTATCCGAAACGAGGACACAAGAGCCGAGTATGGCTTTTTAACCAACCTCCCTATCGGTTTCCACTCGCTTCTCCTAGTGAACCTCTCTTGGCGCAAAAGTCGTTGTGGTTGGCTCTGCCGGTGATGGTATTGTGCCATTCGAAGGAAGCAGAAGGCTGAAGAATTCCACTGGAGGCAACAGCTGCGCTGTTTCAGATGATTCGACCAACCTGTCAAAAGAAGACAGGCGTCATCATCATCATCGACACCATGACATCGGTGTTCAGCACCGGTGCTCCACTGTCGTACAACCATGATTTATTTGAAAGCCTTATTGTAAGGGAAAGAATAAAGGGACTGAGAAGGGACCTAGTGCTAGCTTACCAAAATCGTTTCTAGGTGCCTACGAGCTATGGTTCTGAGACATGATTGTCGAATCCCTGAAGACGTCTCATTTCCACTGCTGAAACAGGCCAATTCTCACAGCCATACAAAAAAAGCACTGTAGCTTGATACACACGTCCCTTGAGATTCGGTGGTAAACCACTCTGACGACATGGGTGTCTTTAATTAGCAAACGCGACTCGAGCCTTGCAGATTCGTGCATTCACCTCATCTATCACACTATAGTCAGAACTAATGCAACTTCCAAGATACATAAAACGCTCCACAACTTCCAGTGCCTCTCCATGGATCGTAAGTGGCGTGTTCAGTGACTGCACGTGCACTTTGTGGTTGCCAAGTGCATACCATAGGACAGGATAACTTTGATCCGTTCATCCAAAAACACCTGCGCCTTCTCTTCGAAGATGAGAACGATGTCGTCTGCGTACTTCAGATCGACAAGGTTTTCTACACAAGCTATTTAAACACCAGAGTTTTGGAGGCAATGCAGTGTTCGTTGCATTATTTCATCGATCACGAAGTTAAAAAGGAATGGATGGAGTGAGCATATCTGACGGATACCGCTTTGTGTACGGAAGCTTTTGGAGAGCTCTGCCTACACTCACACGTCCGGCCGTCTGAGAATACAAAGAACGTATTATGTTTACAAACTTCCGGGGCATTCCTTGGTGGGGAAGCGTCTCAAGAAGAACAGACCGATCAACCGAGTCGAATGCGCCTCGGAAATCCAGGACTACTAGAATCGTGGGTCGCCGCATTACCGGCCTTCCGAGCCTCTTTCATTTCTTTGGCTTTCTGTGTGCACCACACTTCACGGTCGGCTCGCACGCTCACTTTCGCTTGACGTATGATGACTCTTCACACCGGGTTACGTTTGGGACCGGTTGGGGTATTTCTCCGAGATTTAAGCAGTTCCATCGTTCGGTCTGATATCCAGTGCTTGCATGCGCCTGGTTGGGCCGTGTCACAGGCGAAATTCCCAGCACTGTATAAAGAGGTGGCAATCTCGTTCCAGTATGAGTCCACATCTGATGGTAGAGCACTTGGAAGAGACTTAAGAAGACGGTCCTGGTAGGTTCGTCTAACATCCGGATCTGCCAGTCTTTCACTTGCCAAACCATTTGTCCGCACCTTACACGACCCTGGAAAACATAGGAAGAATCGACTCTCCCAGCGCGCGGTCAGAATCCACAAATGTGTTCCAAAACGACCGGAGGCACCGACATCTAAACAGGAGAACGATTAGAGTCCTCAACCAAAGCCTTTGGCTCAAAAGCCTGGCCACAAGGCGGCTGTGTTTGGCGGGAAATGCAAATGGATTACCTCATGCTTTGCGCCCTTAACCTCCTCCCCCAACCTGGGGAGCCGGGAGACTCGAAAGTCATACCTCTAACCATTGATCAATCGTGTATGGGAGACTGGGTGTCACGGGGACACTCCCCAGTATAGCTCAATGGATCGATGAGATACACAAATTTAGGCGATCACCACGGCGTCTTAGGTTTTAGCTCGCTGCGCAGGGCATTCAGGGCGTTGTAAAACCTACTTTGACGGCGTCGGAATAGCAATTCACTCCATCAATCGTCGTCTTGAGCGATGGATTGAATATTCCAAAGGACAATTCAGCTAGTCTCCTACAACACAACGGCTGGAAGAACCCAGCGGTTTTGAAAGGAACATTGACACCAGCCCACCATCAGCAACAACCTCAAGTATGACGAGGCGCCTGGCACGGATGATCTACTCCCGCACACTTCAAAGAAGGTAGCGAGGTCATGGTGAGTAGTCTTACATCCATACTGCAGAAGATTTGGAAAGAAAACAGAATACCACCCGAACGAAGCTCCCTAGTCATCCCAGTTTTCAAAAAAGGGCTCAAGAACATCATGTGAAAATCATCGTGGTATCAGCCTGGGATCCGCCCCATCTAAGTTGCTCTCTGGCGTTATTTTTCGCAGGTTGATGGATGATCGGGAGAGGCAGATTCATGAGAATGAAGCTGGTTTTCGTCCTGGTCCAGGATGCATCGACGATATCTTTACCTTAAAACAAATCCTTGAACAACACCACTCCTTAAGATGTCCCACGTTCTTTTTTTGGATTTGAAAGCTACTTTTGATTATGTCGATCGTCAGCAACTTTGACAATGTCTGGCGATAAAAGGTGTCCCTTCCAAATTTCTCTCCCCAATGAGGGCACTATATGCGAACTCCTATGTGCGCGTACGAGTATACGGCAAACTTTTGCCTGAGTTCACCACATCCAGTGGTGTAAGACAAGGCTGCCCTCTCTCACCTATCCCATTCAACTTTGTTATTGATGTGCTGCTTGAAATATCTGACTGCCTCTGAAACCTCGGAAGTCGAAATGCTCCCAGGACGTTCGCTCGCAGACAACAACTCGCAGACAAACAACTCTACCGCACGGTTTGGCATGCGCTCCACATCTGAACAGTGTACTTGCACAAAATTGGGTGGGATCAAACCCAAACCTCCTGCTTGTAGACGAGGCAATTGACGTGGAAGATAAATTTGTTTACCTGGGCAGTCGTAAAAGTTCCGCTGGACCGGCTGGAGGTGAAATTATTTATCGAATCGGGAAAGCCAGGACAGCTTTTGCCAACCTAACACCTACAGGGCCAACGTGCGGGAATTTATCTGTTAAGAGCAGAGTTTACATTGCGGCGGTGCGATCCACTCTGTTTTATGGATCAGAGACCTGGCCTCTACGTGCAGAAGACATACAAAAGATGTCAGCGTTTGACCATCGGTGCCTCTGAAGCATTGGTAAGGTCTGGTGAGAACATCAGATTATTAATGCCAAGGTACGCCGGATGGTCCTGGGAAGAAGGAACTCTCCCGCGATAGATGAATTACTCACAACCCGTAGGTTACGCTGTTTCGAACGTGTACTACGCATGTCAGGAGATCGTCTACCTCACAGCTTTTTTCCCAGCCCTGTGCTGAGTGGAGGCGACTGATACATGGACAATGTGTGACCTGGCAACGACGCACGAAAACACTAACCAGTAAACTGGTTCGGATCGACAATTGCCACCTCTCGGATGGGACCCCTGGGGTTCAACTCACTAATGGTTAGTGACATTGGCAGAAACAGCCCAACCACTCAGTCAGTGGCGCTCGTGCATCAAAGCTATTCCCTTCAATGCGTAGCTACTCAGTCCCCGTACTGAACAAGTACGCCATTGCCTCCGAGGCTTGGTTGCACGTCCCACAGTCTCCAACCTCCCGGTGATTGAAACTGTAGCAGCTGGAGCCAGTATGCCTATGACACACGGTTGATAGCTGATGAATTGAATTGATGGATTGGTAGTATTGTCCTAAGCCGCCGACCCGAACGTCCTCTGCTTTGATTGTTTACGGTTGATAGTCGCCTGTGTGCATTTGGCAACCTATGCGGGGACATCCCGTAGAGGTGCCGATAGTCCCTGCATGTTCATTGTACCCGCTTATGCCACAACAGAAGGCACTTCTGGTACTCCGATAAATCATTTTTACGATACTTAAAGTGTATTGTGGCTGCTGAGTTGGCGTTCAGTTATTGTTGTAGTTGTCTGAGATATGAATGCGCAAGTAGGCAGACTTGTCGCTGCAGAGGCCCAATCGAGTGCTCATTTTGAACTGGAGTCGAGACGCGTGGGTATTGTCGGATGCTCATTGCAGTTATGTACTGGCCACAGGCTATTTCTGTACAGTACTAGCTTCCGAAATAACCGAAACGGTTTGGTTACCTGGTGCCCCTGACATTAGAACCAACTGCCATCGCAGGTAGGCTATATCGCCATTAGCTATGGGTGGCGTAGATCAATTACTGATTGTCGTTCGTTCTGGTAGATTCGGACCACGCGCTTGTTCGTTGCCGCTCCTCAGAGGCGTGCAAGCTGCTCATACCTGATTTGGCCATTGAGAAACTCTTGGACTCTGATGTGAAACAAGCCTAACAGAACAGTCTAATTAATTCCCCTTCGGAAGACACTCCTTTTGATGTTGACTTGCTGGAAGGTACTGTCCGCAACTCTGCAAGATGCTGGGCGCTTCGCCTATGAGACGGCGTGGACAAAGTTTGACGTGGCAGAAGGAAATAAAGGATGTTAGAAATTAGTTGGGTACTTTTGTTTCTCTTCGCGTTCAGAGATGGGATCCACGTAACCTTCTCTGTGCTTGGTTGGTGACATTGAACAATGTCAGTGGCATTCGCACCGACTGTTTCTATCCGAATGATCCCATTGTGTGTTGGAGGTGTAGGCCTGTTGTCCTAGATCCCCCTCCCCACCCCATTTCTTCTCTTTATTATAAGGCTTCATTCAAATAAACTGACGGTGAAACACCGATGTCCTCCCCTGGTGTTATTGTCAATGATGGCGATGATGACCAAAGTTGATCCAGATATCGCGGGAACGTTTTTGGCTCCTGACAATCTTTGCTAGGATCACTCAGTCATGCACATACCAAGTTCCTCTTCTATACTCCAGAAATCAGGATGGAAATCAGGTGGTGCACGCTGAATGACATGTTGGTGTTTCGTTTGCGCGTGTTAATTTGTTTCTAAAAACTGCTGACAAAGCCTAATCGCGGTAGCCTCAACGCTTCGACTGTATCATCATGCCTCACAACACCATATTTTGATTTGTGAGCGTTGTAGAAACGCGTTTATCATATTCCGATTACTCTTATGATCTTTGTGTTAGAATACAAGGACATTTGTGCCTGAAATGTGCCCAGCCTCCAGACTTCTGTATGTCTTCTCCCATAAGGTCTTTGGCTTGTGGCGCCATAAAAAAGGCGAAATAGGGTAGGGTGCAAATGATCTGAACTTTCCTGCAGCCCTTGTTCTACTGTCGGAAAGATTCATCTCTATGTTGTACCTTATGAACCATGTAGCTTGGTCGCAACATAGGAAGTTAGATGTTGTGACGGCCTTTGTGTGACTAGCGAAGTAAGCTACTCATACCCGAAGCTTTGTGCTTAGGTTGTCATACTTCACTAAATTCACTGGAAATGCATTACCTATTCAGATCACCCCGTGCTATTGTCGCTCTCCGCTTCAGGTCACACAGAAGTTTGTCGAACTTAACGGGTTACAGGTCATTTGTCGTGCGCATCAACTGGTTCACGAAGGCTACAAGGTCATGTTTGATAACCATCTTATAACCGTGTGGTCGGCCCCCAACTATTGCTATCGTTGTGGAAATATTGCCGCTATCCTGGACTTCCAAGCTCCCAATCAGTACGAAGCCAAGCTATTTAATGCGGTGCCAGATGAGGAAAGGGTGAAGCCTCCTGCACGAATAACTCCGTACTTTTTATAAAACCATCGGGTCGTGGCTCAACAACGAATTCCCCTCGTCAGCTGATGCCAATCACTGTAGGCTTCCTTTTTCACTCACCAACTGCTAAAGAGTTTTGATGACAGCGGTTACAATCTGCGTTTTGTATCACTAGTGACTTGACTTGACGGAACTTTGCCGCTCTTGCGGTGGTGGAAATGTTTTTATTATGATTTCTTCAACACCAAATGCGAAATACATATTCGTCCTTCGTTAACTTGACTAATCCCTATTTGTTGAAGTGCACCATTTTGGCGCCAGGTGTTCATAGTAGATACCAGCTACTTAGTTTGATTCGTCGATTTGGGACCTTTTTTCAAAGTTATTATCAATGATACAGCTTTCGATCATCGTCATGCTCAACTTGTGGAGTTTACATCGTATCGTTGTGGTATAATAGTAACGCATCACTGTAGACTCTAATCGTTGCATGGTTTCTTCGAAATGACTCCCACGGTAGGTCTACCAGCACCTACGTCCCATGTCATTTGTATCACTAAATGCATGTCACAGGTCATATGCACACAGTGTAATTCTGTTTCGGGTTTACGAGCTTGCTGCGTTCAGGCGAAACCGCCCAATTGGCTACGCCGTTCCAGGCCTTTCATTACTTCGTTAGCTTCACACTGAGTGCAGTAAAGGACTAAGTGCTTGTTAACGAAGGTTTGTCCGAGGCTTCCGGCCTTTCTGGTTGAGTCAAGAAGGACTGGATGTATGAGCTTATGGAGAACAAACTGGCGTAATCTTATCACGAGAGGGGCTGTTCCGTCGAGCCATCCCGCGAGAAAAACAGCACCATGTAATTAATATGATCAATTTGTTCGGTCCTGTTTCAACAGTACTCTCTCCATGAAAGTGGATCTTTTGGAGCTAACGAACTATGAAGTTCCTGACTCCCACGTATGAACGCTCAAGAAATGCTCACTGGTCACAAGCTCCCAACGACGAATGCCTAAGTGACTGAACTTACTGTGCCTTAGCTGTCTTTACAAGGCTCCGTTGTAAGCCAGAGTTGTAAAACTACCGCTCATTGCTACTTGAGGCTTTACTGACTCGAACAGTGTGGCCGCGGTGTGATTGCCAGGATAGAAAGCAACCCATTAGATAATCACGCCATTAATCTGCACATCAAAATCACATGGTGGTGGATCAGCAAGACTGTACCCTGAGGCTTACTATCTAAACCTTGAGAGTCATTGCCAACAGTTGTTCTGGGTTGATTGAATCTACAGTGAATGATTGTGACCTGGTGTCCACTGTCGATTGTTATATGATAGGATGTCGGTAGTCACTTAGCCGTCTAGGTAATCTTCTCTAGCTTAACTGATTTAATTCACAGGTTACGTAAGCAATAGACGGTCGTTGATTAGGCTCTGAGGAGAATGAGTCTGTTATTTGGTGATTGTTTATACATAAGAAGTCTGATGTACATGGTCCATCAGTGGGAGCTTACTGGCACACATCCATTCTACCTAATGGTTTTGAGCCTACAAGGGCTGGCCATCTTACTGCGATTGTGATTGAACTTACTATCATTTGCGTCCTGCGTGATGATGTGAACAGTGTCGAAATTTTGGTAGCTGCATTACGTTTTCCGTCTGCTTCTCTATTTGTTGAAACCGGTAATTGATCAGCAAACGTTCCGTGACCATACCTAAATAGTGCTAGTTCTGGTGAGTTTATTAGCTGTTGATAAGGTAGCAATTGAGCTGTTCGCCAAACCTGGCTATTGGGTTGCAAACCTTTCGTCACCATGCGGGGAAGGGGCATCGTCAGTGTGCACTCTGGTGGGTGATTCCTTTTCTGCTTGCGTTTATGTAGCTCCTAAAAGGTAGCTGATAACTGCAACGTGATCGGCTGTCTAAAGACTAGTCTTTTCGGGTTTTGGGTTGTGTCGTGGTCTCGTTGTCTTGCCTCTGGTTGGTCCGTTCCGTAGCTCCACCTTAGTAGTTGTATTCTGTCACCAAGTGTTAACATGGTCATTACACGGTTGGATGGCGGATCCCCTTTTCTTGCGTGCGCAGATACGGTTTTGAATAAAATGTGCTGCTTCTGATGGGTTTGGTTAATGGAGAGCACCCTTTGCAGAATTTTCTTGACCCGCTTGTGGTTTGTGTCGGGTCGTGATTCTTCAACGGAAGTTTCTTCTTCAGTTGTTCTGATTAGCCCTTTTGTAGTTTTATTGCAGTTGGTTTGCAGCTTCCGTAACTTCCTTTTAAAATTGTGTTTCTTTCGTGTACAATTTAATTTCCGACCTTCGAAACGCGCTACGGCAAAATCTTATCCTGTTTCAATCTAACGAAGACAGTTTATCGATTGCAATCATGGAGTGGTTCGACGGGAATCGTTTGTTATAATAATCACTTGGATTCACTTTGGTTTCAGAGATGTTTTCATTATCTCATAAGTTTGGTTATTGTAACGTTCTGTAAATTACAACGTATCCCAAGTTCCGGCAGATGTTACTGTTTATATAGCCAAGTGTTGACCTCTAATTGGACTCATCGGTGTGGCAATGTCGCAGCATCACCAGTAACGCCCTGACATTCTTCAATAAAGGCACCTGTGGTCCCGTCTTGTAGCGAAGCCATCGTTTCAGAGACCTGAATTTTTTCTTCTATGCTCATGGGAAGTCCAAATGGATTGTAATGGAGAAAGTCTCCTGCCTCACAAATCGATTATCCTTCAATTGCTGCTACCTGTTTGGTTGTTCTGTTTTTCTCAGTTATCTTCACCCTACTCCCCCAATCCCAATCGGGAATGAAGATGGGGAATCTGCTTTGCAACCAATGGCAGATAATTTGTCTTTCTGTCCTATGTGCAACGACTCTCAGTGTAACGTTATCCCCCTAATAGGTTCGCATTGCCGCTCACAACAATGGTGATGGGCTATTCGTCCCCCTGAAATATGACGACCTCTCCAATTGAACGATTATTTTTTTAGTTTTTCGGCGTTAAAGTAGATGGCACGTACGGCATTTGAGCTATGTTCATCCGAGTTGAGCTGGAATGATGTGTAGGTGGATCGTATGCTTTAGCCAGAGAATCCCGAGCGGTTCATCACTGTGAACAT